GTTTTTATAAAGTGGGATTATCTATTGCCTATGTTTATGTGAGTGTAGTTAATTTCCTTAGGTTGGAGTTTTCCTTCCAGAACTTTCTGTAGGGCTTGGTTAGTGGTTACCTATTGTTTAAATCTGGTTTTGTCGTGGAATATCTTGTTTTCTCCATTTATAGTGATTGAAAGCTTTGCTGGGTATAGTAGTCTGGGCTGGCATCCCTGTTCTCTCAGAGTTGGTAAAATATCTATCCAGGTCCTTCTGGCTTTCAGAGTTTCCATGGAGAAGTCCATTGTAATTCTGATAGGTTTGCCTTTATATGTTACTTGGCCTTTTTCCCTTGCTGCTCTTAATATTCTTTCTTTATTCTGTACGTTTGGTGTTGTGTGACGAGGGGACTTTCTTTTGTGGTCCACTCTATTTTGCGTTCTGTAGGCTTCTTGTACTTTCATTGGCATGTCTTTCTTTAGGTTGGGAAAGTTTTCTTCTATGTTTTTGTTGAATATGTTTTCTGCACCTTTGAGTTGGGTTTCTTCACCTTCTTCTATACCTATTATCCTTAGGTTTGGTCTTTTCATGGTGTCTCATATTTCCTGGATATTTTGTGTTAAGGATTTGTTGGACTTAAGATTTTCTTTGCTTGATGAATTTATTTCCTCTAGTTTATCTTCAGCATCTGAGAGTCTGTCTTCCATCTCTTGTATTCTGTTGGTTATGCTTGCATCTGTGATTCCTGATTGTTTACTCAGCTTTTCCACTTCTAGCATTCCCTCAGTTTGTGTTTTCTTTATTTACTCTATTTCAGTTTTCAGGTCCTGAACTGTTTCCTTCAGCTGTTTAATTGTATTTTCTTGGCTTTTTGTGGCTTTCCTTGCTTTCTTGCATTTTTTCGTTTGTCTGTTCTTCCATTTCTCTGAAGGATTTTCTAATTTCATCTCTTAGGGTCTCTATCATCTGCATGTAGTTGTTTTTTAAGGTTGCTGTCTTCTGCTTCTTCTGTGTTGAGATGTTCATGTCTTGCTGGTGTAGAGTCCCTAGACTCTGGTGGTGTCATATTGGTTTTCCTGTTGTTGGATGTGTTCTTTATTGTCATCTTCTCATCTCTTCTTCCAGTGGGTACAGGTGGTGTCTCTTCCTTTCCCGGTGTGTATGGGTCCCGTGTTCTCTTCAGGTGGGTGCAATTGGCTCTGATACTCTGATGGGTCTCAAGGTGGGTGCAGGCAGGTCTGAGGCACTCGCTGTCCTGGTGGGTGAGAGCAGGACTGGTACAGAGATGTCAGCAGACTCTGGGTTGCTTGGTCCTCAGGGACAGAGTCGTCCTGTCTGCAGACCCTTGGGCAGGAGTTCCCAGAGTGGGCAGGCAGAAGTTGGACCCAAGTCAGGGACCGAAGAAGCTCAACTCTGCACTCTGTGGGGGCCAGAATAGCCCAGAGATTTCAGCAGAGTCAGGGTCCCTGGGTCCTCAGGGACAGATTCAGTCTGCCTGTAGACCCCTGGGCGGGATTTCCCAGAGTGGGCAGGTGGAAGTTGGGCCCAAAGCAGGGGCCGAAGCAGCTCAACTCTGAACTCTCTGCACTCTGTGGGAGTCGGAATAGCCCAGTGATCTCAGCAGAGTCAGGGTCCCTGGGTCCTCAGGGGCCAATTCAGTCTGCCTGCAGACCCTGGGATGTGATTTCCCTGATTTTTAAGAATTTTTATTTCTACTTTAAAAAATTTTTTTTGGGGGGGAGCTACAAGAGAAGAGGGCAGAGGGGGAGGATTGGGAAATGCGTGGGATTGGGGCACATGATGTGAAATTCTCAAAGAATCAATAAAAAATTAAAAGAAAAATGGTAAATGGTTCCACATTGTTTTTTTCTTTTTGGCCAGGCTGGCCTAGAACTCACAGAGATTTTTCAAGTACTGAGATTAAAGATATGTGCTCCACCACTGACTGGTTCCTCATTCTTCAAAGGGGTAGAAACCCTGGATCTCAGCATTGTAACCAGCTTTGGATTTGTACAAAAAATTTTCTTATACAGCACAAAACCCTGTGCAGCCACTTGTATTGTGTCATTTATAGGAGCTTTCAGACAGAGGCTAGATGTTCTGAATTTTGATTTGACTGTAGCAGCTTGTGGACACAGGAAATGCAGGGGTTGCCTGGGAGAAGCAGGAGCATTGACTGAGTTACTTTTCCCTCTTACCAGGCGCTGTTATGTGGGTTACTTGTGACATGTCCTGAGGACCCACTGAGGTATTTAGAGAAAATGATCATAACTATCATTCAGAGTGGCCTGGAAAACCTTCTTTGGTAAGTGCTGTTTTGATGTATGATAGGCGAATGTTCTGAAGGCCAAGAACTTCAAATAGTGTCATGATACAGTCTTGGCAATGAATGTTTCAAATCAGGGTCTTGTTAAAGAATCCCTCCCTGGGCTGTTAGCACCTCAAAATTTAATGTGAACAATATACTCACTGATTTTCCCAGTGTGAGAATGCAGTAAGCTCCCACCTGTGCTCCTAGGACAGAGTGTGTCAGGTGAGGCTGAGAAAAGCTGACACAGTGTTCTCGGGAGCTCAGCACATTCTGTTGATTCTGACCTCAGGGAAAATATCTCCCCCACCACACCCCTGCCCCTCAGGGAAAGTATCCCCTCATCCCTGCCCTCTTAGGGAAAATATCCCCCCCATACCCACCTCCTTAGGAGAAATACCCTCCCACCCCCACCCCTCCCTGACATGAGAATCAGTGACCCAGTTGTAGAATTACTTCAAATGGAGTTAATCTTGCCCTTGCCCTCTAATTTTATTAAAGGGACATGTGCATTGATCCATCACTGAAACCAAAAATTCGAAGACTTTCTGAAACTTACTTGGAACAACTTTTTGGACTGGATGACCAGCTGGTAATTAATCAAGTATTTTGAAACACATCTTAAGTTCATATGGAAATACTCAAGCAGATTTGAGGTTTTACCAGGGGTAGGGGTGTCAGAGGTCAGAATCTGAATTGAGGCCACCTAGGAAATCAAGAGGTTAATCCACACCGAGCCAAACAGGTCCCCAGTTCTAAAGAATGGTCAGGCAAATTCTTCTTTCTGACTGTCTACCGTTCATTTTCCCTCTCTTCCTCTCATAGACAGAAATAGCATTGTGAAAGCTGGATTTAATAGCACACAAGCTGCATTCCCAACATTCAGGAGGCTGAGGCAGGAGGATGGAGAGATTGAAGGGCATTTTGGTTACTGTGCCCTGAAAATGTGCTTTGGCTTGTATCACATGATGCATCATGGCTTCAGCTCTGAGCCCTGACTCCTGACTTTCCTGGGTGTGGGACATGGTTGTAAAAGCAACACTTCCCTGGAACTTAGTTCCAGGCTGGATGAACTGAACAGTGGACAGATTCCTGTGGCTCCCATTGTGAGGCCTGATAGAGTGGGCTTCTTTAACTGCTTTGGTGCTAGGGAAGAAAAGCTACCCAGCCTGTTGACTTCTGTATTGGCTAAAGTCACATTTGGCTGGTTGCAGTAGCCCTGGCTTTGGACCACAAGTCTACCCAGAGCAGTGTAGGTATTGCTTCCTCTCCAGTGTTGTGCAGTCTTGGCAGGCAGTGGGCTCAGGTGGTATGTTAGATAGGTTTATGCCAATTTGAGAGGAAGGACTATTTTTTAATCCTTTTTTATTTGAATTAGAAACAAGATTGATTTACATGACAATCCCAGTTCCCTTCCCCCCCTTCCCCTACCACCGCCCCCCCCAACTAAAACCCTACCTATCACATACCCTTTCTTCTATTCTGAGGAAGTACTCTTAATGAAGAAAATGCCTCCATAAGATTGGGCTGTTGGCAAGCTGGTAGGGCATTTTCTTAGTGATTGATGTGGGAAAGCCCAGCCTACTGTGGGTGGTGCCATTCCTGGGCTGGTGGTCCTGGGTTCTATAAGAAAGCAGGCTGAGGAAGCCATGAAGAGTATCTTAGTCACTGTTCTATTGCTATGCAGAGACATCATGACCAAGGCAACTCTTATGAAAGAAGTCATTTAATTAGGCCTTGCTTTATAGGTTCAGCACATGGTTGGAGCCTGATGGGAGTACCATGGGAGCATGGTGGCCTTCTAGCACTAGTGCTGTAACTGAGGACTACATCCTGATCCACAGGCAGCAGGCAGAGAGAGACACTGGGCCTGGTGTGTGCTTTTTGAAACTCTAATCCCATCCATAGTGACACATTTCCTCCAACAAGGCCACAACTCTTAATCCTTCTAATCCTTCTCAAATAGTTCCACAACTTGGTGACTAGGCATTCAAATATATGAGCCTATGGGGGCCATTCTCACTCAAAACCATCCCAAGGAGCAAGCCAGTAAACAGCACTCCTCCATGGCCTCTGCATCAGCTCCTGCCTCCAGGTTCCTGCCCTCTTTGAGTTCCTGTCCTGATTTCCTTCAATGATGGACTGAGATGTGGAAGTATAAGCCAAACAAATCCTTTCCTCCCCAACTTGCTTTTGGCCATGGTGTTTTACCACAGCAATAGGAACTCTGACTAAGATTGGTGGTGACAGTTGCCTTTAGTGGCTTCAGGTACAACGCAGGAGCCTCAGGCTAGGCTGTCCACAGTTTCTTTTCCCAGAGCTGAACTGGATCCCAGTGTCTGAGCATCTGTTAACTGTGGCATCCAGGCTACCTCAGCCCCGGGGAGAGGCTTGTGGGGACAGATGTGATACTCTTGATGTACTCTCCTGGTTCTTTTTGAACAACATCAACATGCATTCCAATAGAGTTCCAAGATTGGACTTCTCTTTACTATTGGAACAGTATTTGTCTTAGTTAGGATGTCTATTGCTGTGAAGAGACACCATGACCATGGCAAGCTTAGGAAGAAAACAGTAAATTGGGTCTGGCCTTCAGTTCAGAGGTTCAGTCCTTTGACCTCATGATGGGGAGCATGGTAGTGAGCATGGAGACCTGGTACTTGAGCTGAGAGGGCTACATCTCGACTCTGAGACAACAGAAAGTAGAAGCCTGTCACACTGAGGGAAGCTTTTTGAGATAAATACCTCAAAGCCCACCCCCACAGTGACACACTTCCTCCAACAAGGGCATATCTACTAATAGAGCCACTCCCTTTGGGGGCCATTTTCTTTCAAACCACCACAGTCATGTTAGCTGCAGACCTTAGGAACATTTGAACCTGGGCAGTATCCTGAGCTGAGATGAAGAAAACAGTGGAGAAGGAATGATTAATGGCCCAGTTATAGTTAGACAGGAGTGAGACATTGCAGTTGTAGAAGTGATTACAGGTAGCAACGTTCCAAGCATTTAATGCAGACAGAAGTGTTGGCAGATGGCTCAGGAGGTAACGTGACCTGATACACATCTGCTGGCTTGAGTTCAGTCCTTGGGATCTAGATGATAGGAAGAGAGAACTTTTTGTCTCCTACAAGCTGTCCTTTGACCTCCACATATGAGCTGTGGCAGGCACACATACAGCATAAATTAGTAAAAATGTAATAAATTAATTTTTGAAAGCTAGAAGGAAGTTTTTTGGAAGTGATTACCATAAAGAAGTGAGGAGATACATGTTTGAGGAGATACATTTAATTGGACCTGCGCATACCCAGTGTGTATTGAGCAACACATTACAATGTATATCATTAATATGTGTACTTTTTGTTTGTGTGTTCCTTAAAATAATTGTGAAAAAGAAAAACAGAACAAAAACAGTGCCATTGTTTTACATAATTGCAACAATTGTTGAATATCTCTGAGTGCTAATTATATTCAGGCATAATTATTCCGTTTCTGAATTTCCCAAATTGTCTCAGCAATGTCCTCTTTTTTTAATGTTCTGTTCAAGTCAGAATTCAGAGTTCTCGAATTGTACTTGGTTTCGTGCATCCACTAATTTGTCTGTAATTGAGGACAGCTCTCCTGTCTTGTTTCTATTAAGGGAATCATAAAGAGTCTTACAAACTTCTTTGTTCTAGTCATTTTTGTCCCTAGCTTTTCTATATTTACTGCAGAAATTTGATGTCACTGAGGTTCTTTCCCCACTTTTTTTCTAAAAATTAAAAAAATCTTTATAAAATAATTCTATATGTATGGTTGTTTTGCCTACATCTGGGTACCTCATGTGTGCAATTCCCAAGGGGGCCAGAAGAGGGCACAGGATTCCCTGGAAGTAGAGTTACGATGTTTGTGAAAGACTGTGTAAGTGCTGGAAATCAAACACAGATCCTCTGCAAAATCAGTCAGGGCTCCTAACTGCTGAGCCATCTCACTGGTCCTTTGCATTTTTCTTTTTGCATGCTAATGCTCTATCAACTTGGGAGGCCCATATGGTCTGACTTTGAATTAATGCATTGTGAGTCATTAGAAGTCCTTTGGGTTTTATCATAAAAATTAATCACAGGTGTTCAGAATTACTGCTCACAACTGACAACTTGAACTCAAATGATTAAATGTCCTGTAGGCAACAGCATAATTATAGATTAGTTGTATTCTACACTGCATACAACACAGTTTCAGAGTACTAGTGCCAGAGAGCTGCTGTTGTTGAGAATACTGAATGTGCAGCTAGGCGTGGTGGCATGGACTCACAGGCTGCTCTTGTATAGGACAAGGCTTGGGTTTTGTGCACCGTCATGGCAACACACAACAGTCTGTAATTTTACTTCCAGGGGATCTGATACCTTCTTCTGGCTTCTGTGTGCACCAAGTTGTCACATGGTATGCATTCAGGCCAATATTTAGACACAGAAAAAAATATTTTCTTTTAAAGAATACTTAATTTGGTTTAGAGACAATTCTTTTTGTTCCTAAGGTGGATATATTAATCTATTAGGTAGTTTCAATAAAAGTAATACATTTTTTGTTATCTAAAGTAATTATTGCTCAATGTTGATATCACATACTTTTCTCTTTGATATAACTATGCTTTTCTGGTTATATGTAACATTATAAAATGTGCAATTAATATTGAGATCTAATCTATCCCCCTTTTAGGTAACTGATTTTAGTGATTTTTAGTTTCCTCTTTTTTTCTATTTTTTTCCTTTTTTAAAATTTAAATTAGAAACAAGCCTGCTTTACATGTCGGTCCCAGCTCCCTCTCCCTCCCCTCCTCCCCTGCCCCCACAAAACCCCACTCCATTCCCCCCTCTGCTCTCCAGAGAGGATGAGGCCCTCCATAGGGGATCCCCAAAGTCTGTCATGATCCAGGGCAGGGTCTAGGCCCTCCCTCATGTCCAGGATGAGAGAGCATCCCTCCACATGGAATGGGCTCCCAAAGTCCATTCACATGCCAGGGATAAATACTGATCCACTGCCAGAGGCCCCATAGATTTCTGAGGGCTTTTCCCTGACACCCACGCTCAGGTGGTCTGGGTCAGTACCATGCTGGTCTCCCAGCCATTAGTCTGGGGTCCATATGCTCCCCCTTGTTCAGGCCAGCTGTTTCTGTGGTTTTCAGCAGCTCCGTCTTGACCCCTTTGCTCTCAACTCCTCCCTCTTTGCAACTCAGTTCCAGGAGTTCAGTTCAGTGTTAGCTGTGGGTGTCTGCCTCTGCTTACATCAGCCCCTGGATAAAGGCTCTAGGATGACATATAAGATAGTCATCAGTCTCATTATCAGGGGAGGGCATTTAAGGTAGCCTCTCCACTGTTGCTTAGATTTCCAGTTGGTGTCATCCTTGTAGATCTCTGGAATTCTCCCTAGTGCCAGAAATCTCCTCGATCTATAATGGCTCCCTTTATTATGATATCTCTCATCCTGTCTCTTCTATTCTTCCCCCAACTCAACCTTCCTGCTCCCCCATTTCCTCCTCTCCCCCCTATTTTCCCCCTCTCTTTCTCTCAGCTCCCTCTCCCCTCCCCCAGGCTCCCAGGCTACTCAGGAGATCCTAT